TGGGCTCTTTAAATGCTTCTGAGATCATAACCCATCTGTTCACTGGCTGGTGAGATTCTGTACCTTCTTTAATTTTTTGTTCTCATCTGTGTTAAGTCTACCATTCTGTTGGTTTATTATCAAGTTCCAACCTGATTCCCAGCTTCTGCTTTTCTTTTCCCCCAGTATAGTGTTGTTAGATCACTTTCTACAAATGCAAAACATTCTCCAGATTTCCAAGGCAAGAGGAATTAAGCTGGTTCTTTAACATCATTCTGGATTCAGTATTGCATCACCATTAGGGCAGGACTTGTCTTGACATAGACTACAAGTCTGGCCTCCGATCTTGGCCTCTTGTTGGTGTCAGGAAACATGGGTGGACAGAATAACACTGTCTTCCTGGAACAACACTGCTCAGGGAACAGTAGCTGATGTGAGGTTCCCCATTGTGGGTTATAATTTGAGATAGCGCAGGGAAATTTGGAGAGGTTAGATGTCAGATGCTGGTAGAAGAACCCTGCCCCTTGGGCTGTGGGGATTTCGAATTGCAGGGTTGAGGAAGAGTCAACCCCCGCCATCTGTGGCCTCGCAGTATGAAATAGCAGAACATCTAGCTTAGAACAGAATCAAAGCTAAGTAAGATAAAGCCATCCACCATGATTTATTGTCTGTTACCCTAGACAAAAATAAGACTCTAACCTTTGAAACCAGGAGATATGAAATTAGATCCTGGCTGTGCTACTTACCATGTGATATGTGACCATGGCAAAGTTACTGAATCACTTAAACTTGCTTTTGAGACAAACCATAAACTCATTAGTCATTATGAAGATTAAATGAACTGTACACATCAAGCCCCTAGTGCGGTGTTTGGCCAAATACACACACACACATGCACACACATTCAGTAAATAAAAGTTGTCTACTTTCTTTTCTCAACCAAGAAAAGACACGCAGAAAAACTATGAATCAGGTCTAGCAGTACAAAAAATTATGTTTTGCTTCCTTCCTAGCCCAACTTCTCCTGAGATTTATCTGCACCTATTATTTACACTTTCTCACCTCCCAGAGTCTGTCTGTGGTGGATGGACAGAGATTGTTGCCTCAGTATCTTTTCCCCTACCCCACTGAGACCAGCAACATGGCTGGGGTGAAACTGGCCCATCCTCCTTGTCACTCTGATTGTTCTGGAATGACCACGTGATTAGAGGTGATCCAACAGAGGGGGGCTCAGCAGTGTGGTTTGAAGGTTGGGAGTAGTGATTTATGCAAGTGTGGTTTCTGGATCTACTGCAGGTATTATGGTGCCACGAGGAAAGCATAATATTGACACAGAGGACAGAGTCAAGAACAGAGTAGAGTGAAGGAGCCAGATTCTCTCATATTGAAATTAAAACCTGTCTGATTGCTATACTTTCAAGCAATGTGAATCAAAAATAAACTTCTTTATTTTTATTTTTTTTACTTTTTAAAAACATTTCCCCAGTTTTATTGAGGTATAATTGACAAATAAAAATTGTATCTATTTAAGGTGTACAACATGATATATTAATATAACTATACATTGTGAAGTGATTACCACAATCACACTAATTAACACACCCATCGCCTTACATAGTTATCTTGTGTGTGAGGATGGGTGTGTTGAGAACACCCTCAGCATATTTCAAATATACTATAGAGTATAATTAACTATAGTAACCATGCTGTATATTAAATTTCCAGAACTGCATCCTATATAACTGAAACTTTGTACCCCTTGACCAAAATCTCAGTATTTTCCCCACCCTCTAGCACCAACCAACCACCGTTAAACTCTCTGCTTTTATAAGTTTGACTTTTTTTCTCACATATAACTGAGGTCATGCAGTACTTGCCTTTCTGTGTCTGGTTTAGTTCACTTAGCATAATGTTCTCAAGTTTCATCCACATTTCCACAAATGGTAGGATTCCATTTTTTTAAGGCTCAATGATATTCCATTGTGTACATATACATAGACCACATTTTTTCTCTCCATTCGTTCATAGGCAGTCACTTAGGTTGTTTCTATGTCTCGGCTCCTGAGAATAGTGTTGCAGTGAACATGGGAGTGCTGCTATCTCTTTGAGATACTGACTTCATTCCTTCAGATGTATATCAAGAGTGTTATTGCTGGATCATGTGGTAGCTCTATTGTTAAGTTTTTTGAGAAATTTCATACTATTTTCATCACGGCTCCACCAGTTTACATTCCCAGCAAGGTTTCCCTCTTCTCCACATTCTCTCCAACGCTTACTTGTCTTTTGTCTTTTTGATAAACTTTTAAATTTTATTTTATTTTTATAAACTTTTTTATTCTACAGGTAGCTTTTTTTGCTATCTGTAACCAAAAGCATTTTAATTTGCCAATATTTCTACCTGCTTCGATCAGAATTCAACTCTGTTGCTCCACCAATACTGCTACTCTAAAGAGCATCCAATGGGCCACATGGCAGAGAATCCAGCAGATAGTTTTTCTGATTCTCCATCTCACTTAGCCTTTGAAGGTCAAATTTTTCACCAGATATACAAGGGTGCTCAAGGGTATTCATTGTAGCACTGGGAATAATAGTGAAATGTTGAAAATAACTTACTGATATACTGAATATTGAAAATAATCTACTGATGCACATAATTTTTTTTATTACTTCAAATATGTAGTTTTATTTCAAATATATTATGTAGTTTTCAAATATATATTTTCTACATTATTAAATTATTATTTTCTTTATATAATAGTTATATTTACTTTAAAATATTTATTTTATTTATTTTTGATTATTTGCATTTTCAGATTTTATTTATTTGATATGTGCATTTGTTTACTTACTAATTTAGTCACCAAAGGAGACTGAATGAATAAATTACATATTTATTTCATAGAATGCAGCCAATGGAAGAGTGAAGCAATTCTAAATGTAATAATATGGAATGGTTACCAAGATATATTAAGTGAAAAGAGCAACGAGTAGAGCAGTGTGAATTTGCATGCTAGCATTTTAACTTCCAAAGATGATATTAGTGCTTGTGTATGTATAAAATAGCTTTGAAAGGATTCATAAGAATCTACTTGGTTGCTTCTAAAAAAGGAACTAGAAGGTGGGAGGTGATGACAATGGTGTGAGGAAAATTAACTTTTCATTGCAAAATGTTTTTTAACTTTTAAACTTGTATTGTGGCTACATAGTACTTATTAAAAAAATAAAGCAAATAAATTGGGGTTATTTTTAAAATAAATAAATACCTAATTCCTGGCAGAATATTACCATTTTTTAAAATTCCATCTTCAAATCCCACATATTTATATCTTGTCTCTTTCTTTAAGCTTGAGATTTAATGGACATATACCATGTATTGTTTTTAAGTGTACAACACAATGATTTAATATATGTATATATTGCAAAATGGTCACCACAGTAAGTTGAGTTAACATCTATTACCACACATAGTTACTGTATCTTCTCTTTTTAGTTTCAGAATCATTTACCTCATGGCCTTCTTGCATACCTCACAGACATTTCAAAAATTGGCAAAACTGATCGAATTTTCTTCTTACCCTTTCTCACAAAACTACTTCTCTCCAAATCCTTCCCCATCTCAATAAACACTGTCACCCAAAACCCTTATGCTTAAGGAGGCTAACTGGGAATTATTCTGGACACTTCCCTCTCTCTTAAACTCCGTCTCTAATCAATTATGGAGTCCTGTGGTCTATTATAGATATCCGCTTTATTCTTGTAGCTGACTCTCCAGTGTGACCTTTATAGTCCAAGCCATCAGTCCCTTCCCCTAGTTTCCACACCTCTCCTCAAACCTTCTCTAATGCCATTCCCTCAAAACTTATAGTAAAACCACTTAGTTCAAAGTAAACCCTCCTATTTTTCTAACAAGGAAGTCAATTCTTTTCTTTATAAGTCTTTTTAAGTATACAATTGCATTTATTTTTTTCTTGCTGGATTATAATCTCGATGAGGGCAGGGGCTGTGTTCTTTTTCTCAGGATCCTGTGCCTACAACCTAGCACAATGCCTGGCACACATAGTATGATTGCTTAATTATTCTCAAATTAATAAATGAGTTAAAGTGTGGGTGAGCTTTTACTGCATAGCAGATGATATTCTAGACACGGTACTTAGGGGTGTAAATGTGTTTTAGGATAAGCATTTGCCCATAGACTTCTAGCAGGACAGATACAAAATGACTGTGAGAGAATAGTTTCATGTGTCAATAGGGTGGATATGAGCAGATTAGTTTGCTAGGCAGGGAAGGGGCTCCATTGAGGGCATATCTAGGTAAATGGGAAAGATGAAGAACAGGTTTAATTTTCCCACCTGAAAACTGAGGTGTGTGAAGTAGGTGATTTGCTATAATGATAAGGTTCTGCTTCACAGTTTTCCCCAGATCCTGCCCTACCAGGTCACAGCTGCCTTAGATCTTTCTCCTAGGGTATGTCAGGAGCACATGATGCCTGGGTGGTGGAAATAAACACCCTGCTTGTAGGGCACCTGGGGAGAGCAAGTCGTGAATTGTCCTCAGTCCTGGATGAGCCCATTGTGAGGCCACAGCCATGGAGACCCTCCCCATCCCCCCACCACCTCCAGTGGCCGAGCATCCCAGGCTGCCTACTGCTCAGTCCACAGTGTGCTCAAGACTGTGAGGACAACTTCTTCTTGAAACAAACAAGCAAAAACACATCAACAAAATAAAATAACTGAAAATCCTCTTTATTAAATAACAAGCAAATTGTATATATACAATCCCTGGTCTGTTGCACATGAGTGCTCCCCCTTCTGTGGAGGTTGCTCCATGGGACCAAAGTGCAAGCTCAGCAGCTGGTGTAAATGCCCCGTAATACTTGTAATTCTGGTGAGAGGCGCAGTTCGCACTTGCATTCTCAGGCGCTGCGCGTGCAGGAAAACATGCACCATTTCAATTCACAAAGACTGATGAAGAATGACCAGCCTCATTGAAAATGCCTGTGTTGTGCCTCCTACGCATCTCTCCTAACAGTTAAACCAGCTGTTACTCTTCAAAATATGTGTCACTCTCTTTGCATTTGGGTCAAACTGCAACTGCGAAGAGCCACTGAAGAAATAGAAAAACCCTGCAAACACAGACAAGGGAAACAGATATTTTTTTCAAATAAATAAATTTGGCAGCATACAAAACTCAGAATAATAGATAACCAGAAGTGGAAAGTGTTTATAGAATTTACTATGTGCCAGGGACTGTGTGTTAAGCATTTTATGTGTTGTTGTTTTTTTCCACTTATTTCTGCAGCAGTCCTTTGAGGTAAGTATAGCTAACTCCATTTTATAGATGGGCAAGTTGAGGTTCAGACAGATTTAAATGCTTGCTCCAAGTCCCTCAACAAGGAAGGGATGGAGACAGGATTCCATTCCAGCTCTGTCGGAGAGCAGGCTCTGGGTTATGAGGTTACTCTGCTTCCAATCAGTTAAAATTCTCTGCTTCTTGGGAGATTATAATCTCTTTATTTTCTTTCTTCCTAGCATTCCTCCTCCCCTTTCCCCACATTGCAGCCTGAGGGGCATTTCAGGCTTTAGAGAAGCACAGAGGACCCGCTGTGGCTCTGTCTCACGGTGCTCTGGTTACTCAGTAAAGATCATCGGCCTCCACCTGCCTATCCTTGAGTGGGAAAAAAGTCTTTTTAAAACTTCGGGTACATGCAAACATAAGTATTTGCAACTGACTAATGTGGCCAATGCCTGACGACTCAGGAAAGGTAGAGAAAACTCCCTGGGAATTAGTAGTAGTGCTCACATGGAGCAGAGAAAGCCAGCCAGCCAGTGTGAAGTTTGGCCACGCCCCAGCAGGGGAGTTTTACACTGGCCTGGTCATTTGAAAGGCAGTAGCTCTAGACGTAAGGCAGTGATGCTTAAAAGCTTTGATTTTACCTGGGTGTATAAAATTAAGGAGAGAAATTTGAGCTAAATGGCTTTATGATTCAGAACAACTTATTATGTGAAGTAGGTGCATGATTGGTTAAAAATTGGTAAATTTAAATTTGGGGAGGGAGGAGAAAACTGGTTAAAGAAAACCTGTTATTAAAAATTGCATCAATTCTCTTCCCTCTAATACCATAAAATGTTTCAAGTGCCCCATTGCCAACAAAATAAATGTCCTCTTACCAAATGATTCAAAAACAGCATCGACCTTTGGGCCAACCCCTGGAAAGTCTTCCACGATTCGCCTGGGAAAGCCCAGATCCATAGAGCGTTTCTTCTCATCAAATCTGCAGCAAATGAAAGAATGCAGCTCAGCATGGCGTAAGGCCACGTTACCAAAATTCGTAACTCGTGTTAGGTTTAATGTGGAATTCTAGTGAACTTTCCAAGTGCCGCAAGTAAACGGCACACGCGCTTAGCACTACAGAAACACGTGACTGTCGTGCTACGCAAACTTCGCTCTTACTGTATCTGCAGCCGGAACAGAGGCAACATGCTGATCTAGCAGATGCTGCTTGTTAGTATATTTTTTAAGCCTGAGCTGAAAGAACCTTAATCATTTTTCTATCACAAGAACATGAAGGTGTGAACAGATACACAAAGTGAGTCGAATCACTCATCTAAATACAAATTTCAAGTTCTCCACCACACTTGGCTTATGCGTGCCTTCCCACCCTGCACAGCTGGGTTTCCTACGGCAGTCTCTCTGCAAAAGGAATTAGTCTGAGAAGCAGAGCACAGTAAACGCATTTTGGACCCACTGCGTGGGCCTCGGCTGGTCTGCTCGGACGTCTCGGTCTGCGCGGATGGCAGGGAGCGGCCTCTCTCTGAGTCGGGGCTCCTATTCCATGAGCCCAGCCGCCTGTGCTTATTGCCCTCTGAAGCAGGGAGAGGTGGTGAGTGGCTAAGGTTAAGGGAAGCCCTTGAGAACCATGCAGTAAAGTTGGGAAGACAAGACAAACACCCAGCGAGACACTGAGTAGATCTTTCTGACAATGGGAAAGGAGTCCTAAATTTTGGCCTGGATTCTCAGGGCTTCTTTGCCCCCCAAAAAAAGCCCAGTTGGGTTTGGAGTCCAGGAGGACAAGCTGCATGGAGGTGGTGGGACTAGAGCCAGGACTTGAGGAGGGTGGGCCTGGAGCAGGTGGAGGAGAGAAGAGGCCACTTCTGGCAGGTGGGCCAGCAGCCAAGGGGAGGCCCCTTCTGTCGCATGTGGACTTGAAGCAGAGAGCCCGTGGGCGCCTGTCACCAGGCGCTGCTGTTACAGTGAGCGCTTCCCTCAGGTGGCCAAAGCCCTTCTTTCTACTGAGAGGGGAGCAGAGCCGAGGGACACAGGGAATTTCCTTAGAGAACAAGACTTGTTTCCCTAATTAGGCTCCATACAGTCACCCCAATCGCGTATTACCTCCAGTATTTGTCCTCTACAAAGAAGTATGTTTTCCTCTTTTCTTTATCAAAAACGGCTGCATCTATTTTCCTTACTGTTGGCGGAAAACCCAGGGTTTGGATGCCTCTAGGGTAACCTGCTTGAATCTCACTTCCTCGGACGGCCCAGAACTGATTTCCTGTTAAAAAAAATAATTCAGAGTCACGTTGAATTTATCACAGTTAAACCTTTGGGCCTTAGAAATACAGTATGTTTTAGCACCTTTGGTTTTATAAATAAAAAGGAAACCAGAATTTTAGGTTTGCTCACCAGCTCAGGGTGGACATTTAATAAAAAATTTGCCCTTTGAATGAATGAGCACAGATCGAGTGAGGGAATATACAACTGAGAAATTTACATTGCTGTGTTCATTTTTAACATCTATAATATATAAATAAAACAGTACGAGTTCCAGTCATTTTGTCATTACCTTAGAGTAATAAAGTAGACAGAATTTGCCACAATAGAGAAAATTAAAGTCCTATTCAATTTTTCTGTGAGAAGGTTTATTTCAACAAGTTAAATAATTATATAATAATTACCTTTAAAAATGAAAACAATATCCTTGGTCGTATCTTCATAGGCAGCATCCACTCCAGAAGGAAGAGACGGCCAAAATGAAGAGATCAGATAAAACCCAGGTTCAAGGGTCCTTAGGGGTTTGCGCCAAAAATACCTGGAACACGTGTAGAAAGAAATGAAAATTGAAAAACAGCCTTTCATTTTTTAGCATATTTTCCTCATTGCCCTGCCTCACGCATCTTCCCCCATCCCTTATGATCTAGGCTTGATGACAGATAGAAATCAGGCATATTCCCACTGGGAAATTTTTTTTTTTCTTAGGAAAACTGCACTGGACCTTCTGCCATAGGATCACAGAATAACATCTTCTGTGAAACGAGAAGTTACCCTACAATGCAAGTTAATTAGCTGAGTGTAAACTTAAAATACCTACAATTCATATAAAACAGTGTATATGTTATATCATCTTTTACATTTTCAAAAACATAGGCAGATGTGTGTGTAAGTATACGGACTATGTAAGTATGTTTTTGTATGTGCAGGGAGGAATTCTGGAAGGAAAAAAGGGACCTTTGACTATGGAGAGATGGGGAACTGAGAGTCGATGATGCGAGGGAGAAGAGGTTTGAACTGTCTTCCCATTGGTGCAGATTAAATGTTTTATCATGTGTATATTTATCCAGCAGTGAGCAAATGAATTAAGTGTAATGCTATTCCAGTGTCATTTTTAAGGAAGTAAAGACAAAATTCTGATTTTAAAGTCCTACTTGTGCCTTTTGAAACAGAGTGATGACTTCCAACATTTGGGAACAATTAGAGGGCAAGAATTAAATCGTGCCGTGTAAGTCTTTGAAAATGAACTTGGCAATTTTAGGAAAATGTGGGAATTGGAGCATCAGATCAGAATAATTCCAATTCAGAGGAATCATTTTTGCTTATAATGTTTAAAAACCTCTATTAAGTTTCTATTTGTTTTCATTTCTAAGCCTTGGGCATCAAAAGAATAGATAGGAAAACATAATTTTGGGGTCTAACCTGTCTTTAAAGAACAGGATCTCTCCCCTCAGAGTGCTGACTGCGTCGAAGGACAAAGTAGGATCGCACATGGCAGGTGTCTCAGGAGGCGCGGGCTCTGTGGGCACCACAGGGTCGTTGGGGGAAGCAGCGGGGGGTCCTAAAGGAACAGATGTGAGGATGCGAACATTAGGAGGGATGCCATGCTGGTCAGTGTATATTCTCCCCAAACAGTCTCCAAGTGCCCTGAGCTGACGGCCAACGCCTATGCGGCATTTGAAAGCTTCCCTGGAGATCACCCTGCAAAGCCAGATGCCCGGCTTCGCCAGCATCACTCACCGTACAGGGACTGGATGCCATCCACGTCATCCCGAGAGAGGCGGAACCTGGCCAGGTTTGTGAGTGGGTTGTACACCGGGAACATCAAAGCTTCAGGGTTCTTTGAGTGTTCGAGACCCAGGGAATGGCCAAGTTCATGAGCAGCAGCGAGGAATAAATTGATCCCTATTTAGGCAATCATAAATAAGAGTTATGTATTCCATAAATAAATGTACATTGCAGATGTCAGCTGTGTATTTTATTTGTTTACTTTAGGAAGCATGCAGGGCTTTTTTTGCCTTGTTTTTTGTTTAATTGATCAATTGACTGATGACACACTTAATGGAAAGCCAAGTGTTTTTCAAGGCTCATTCTTGACATCAATCTTTGTGACAAAGTGTCCAGCCATAGCCAACTGCTCCCCTCTCAGGAGCCTATTAACCTCATGAGAACCAGTTCCCTTTCCTTGTACTCTGGAATGGAACAAACCTACGAGTTTAACACATCAATAAATATTTCTCATTTGTCAACGAAAACCTAAGCACTATTTTCATGTATTGACATTTGTTGGTTACAGACTAAATTAAATGAATCACAGTTTATTTATCTCAATTATGAAATTCTTAAACAATCTTACTACTGTTATTTGTCATTCTAATATTACTTGCATAGCTTTTCAGCCATGATGATTATTCAATACATATTGGGTCCAAAAATAACAATAATAATAGGTGTCATAGAATTTATAAAATTGGTTAAAAACACAACATGCCCGATCATGTCTGGCATTTGTCACAAAAGAGATTTTGGCCACACAAACACTAGTTATATTCAGATTTTTTTCTTCTACTATAAAAATAAATTAGAATCTGAAATGAGAAGGCATTAGGTAATTAGGATTGAAATGCCAGGTAAGTCAACTTTACTTTGAAATTCTCATTTGAGATTTTGAGGGAAAGAGTTATTAATTCAATCAAACAAAGAATTTTATCCAGCACTAACTAACCTCACGTTTGTACTCTCTACAGGGATTCTGTTTGCATTTTAATTATAATCCCAATTAAGTTTCAAAAGTAGTATTATTTATTTTAGCTAATTGTTTGAAACTTTGGAAGCCATACCTCAAAGTACCCAATTTTAAACCGAGAAACATTCTTCTACCTAAAAAGTTTGGACATTTTTTTGAGGGTAGTCCTTTCATTCAGAACAAGTCCATAGTAACCCTTCTTAACCTAGAGGGAGTAAAATGTTATTCTAACCAGAAACACCTAAACTGAAAGCTCAGTTTCTGGAATTTAATTCTCATTTCTGTTTGGGAGAGTAAAGAAGTCAATGGGGGACATTTTCCCCAATTGGATATAACCAATATCCAGGGCATATGTTAGTGCAAATTCAAAACAATACACTACAAATTGGATATCTACAATCTGATATGATGAAAAGTTGTTCTTAATGATGGTTTACCATCACACAGGAACCAGAGTCATCAAAGAAATACTTAATGATGCTTCCTATATCATTCTTACCTAGACAGAAAATGAACCTTTTAGACATCTGAAAATGTTTTTAATAAAGATTAGGACAAAAATATATTCTGTTGTTCCTTGACCCATCAGGATATCCAAAATAACCCATTTTTTAAATATTCTTAGTTTTTAAGAATTTTCCAAATATGAAAAAACACCAAAATCATTCTGAGAGATGTGTAACTAACCTGATGTATCCTTTGTCCAGTGTTCATCATCATCAAAGTGAGCATCTCCGTTCATTCCTGGCCCAGGTGGAAAGGCATGAGCCAAAGATTTTCCAGGTCCATCAAAAGAGAAAAAGTCTCCATGTGCTAATAGACAGAAAAAAAATTACTGAAAAGATAGGTAATTGTAATCTCTTTGGAAACTTTCCCAATAAAACACCACCAAGTAAGTAGATGTGTTTCATGTTTTTGTTGTTAATGTTGCTTGATTTCATTTCTTACCTCCAACTGCAAAACTGATCATTATGTCAGCCTCTCCTTCATAAATCTTGGAGAATGTCAGTGGAGTCACCTCCTCCCAGACTTTCAGAGCTTTCTCAAAGGCAGAATCAATAGCTTCTCTTGGCAAATCCAGTGTGTAATTCACAATCCTGAATGAGAACAATTGAAGACGGTAAGATTTTCTCCTGACATAGCCATTTGTAAAATCTCAGTATTACGTGAAGCCCTCTTGGGACCCATTACCTGTAGGTAAGGTGAGTTTTCCTCCACTTTGGCATGCCAGGAAAGGTCCTGAATTCTCGAACATCAGGGACCCCGCACCTGGGCTTGTGCATCACCTCCAGTGTGTCTGAGTCCAGCTTCCCCGTCACCTTCAGTCCCAGGAAGTTCTGCATTTCTTGGATTTTTTTAACAACCGGGCTACTGTCCTTTCTTCTAACAAACTTTTCCACATCCTTTGCAAGGTTGTAGTAGTTTTCTAGGTAGTGCTATTGGAATAATCAGTGTAGGTTTTAGGTCATTCTTAGGATTTTTTTAGCCTTCTATAGTACATTTGTGCAGTTGTTCACTCAATCTATGTGAAGCATTCCTCCAGTTTGCTGAATTCAAAATAAGTGTCATACTGTTTAATTTTTTAATTACAGACTCTTCACTTTTGTTTTATCTTTGTAACTAAATAATCTCTACAGCTTAGTTTACTAACAAAACAATTGAAATGAAGTAGAAAATTTAATATGTATCTAGTCAATTTAAAGGAGAAAAAAACACACCAACTTCTTTAGGCATAATTGAATATTTCAGGTATATTTATCCAATTCCCTCAATTTTCTTTTATATGTGTCTCACAAGGACTTGGTTTAAGAAAAACAAGTGGACAAATCTCTGTGTCTAAATATGACACTAGCAGCATAAAAATCTAGCTAATTTTAGATTGGATTAAAATACCTAAAGAAGCTCCCTGTGGGGGTCCAGAACAAGGCATCCCAAAATGTGCCTATGTGGTGTGCAAATTGTTTCTGGCTAAAGGTGACCTTAGCCACAGGCTCAAGAGAAACTTCTGTACCCTCCCCTGCCCCCACCCTTAACTCCTTAGAAGAATTTGAATTAGAGGCCATGCCTGTAGGGGATTATCAACAATAACCCTTTTGACCCCTACATGGCAGGGCAAACTTTTACTTAGTAATCATCCCTTCTCACCCTGCAATGACCCTGGAGCCCGGAGTTGCATTACTTTTCATCCCTAGCTCAGGATGTCAGGCACCTCAATACCTTTTCTGTCTCTGAACCTCTCCTGTTTGTGTGGTCTCTAAACCTGCCTTGTATGCAGGGTTCCCATACATATATATCTGTTAAATTCGATTATTTTCTCTTACAAAAAAAAACAACTAAGGAATTCCAAAGCAAGATACATTTCATACGCTCTCCCTACTATGCTCTCTGTGATCTCAGGAAAACACCTAGTAGACCTGGCCTTCGTTTGGTCCTACGTGACAGGAGGAGCCTGAATTTGTGATGCCAAGACCCTTTCCACCTGCAACAAGTTATACGACTCTACCTTTGAAGCATCCCTGCATCACATTTCAAACCACTCTGCATGAGCTTTATGAATGGAAAGCGGAGGTGGTTTCCCCACCTGGCCCTGTGAACAAGCTTGAGGGCTGTATCCCTTAATTACCTGAACCAGGTCCATGCTGTTATCTTTGTCCCTTGCAGCTCCTTCCAGTGGCCGGGCTGAGCAAACGGCCACACACAGCAACAGCAGCACAGGAAGGTTCCTCATTGCTCCTGGCTTCACTCAGATCTGGGTTGTCTTGACACCTTGCTCTTTGCCTTCCTCCTTCTAAGTCCATCCTCCGGAGCCCCACTTTTATAGGGTGACAATGTTTGTTTAGGTCACCCACAGCTTGATTCATGATCCCTGTCATCCGAATAGCAACAGGACCATGTCCAAAAATTTCAAATCTAAAATAGGATCATACAAGCTTCTTCACTAATTCCTCTCAACCTTTCCAATTGTGCAAGTCAAAATAGTGATTAATCTCCAGGAAATGCTTCCTGTCTTACTAAGGAGAAAACTGGGTGTTTTTTTTCTACTCTGGGAAAAAATGACTGGAGTTTACGAAGCAATTTATGTTTATGTGTTTGAGAGGAGTAGGATGACTTAATAAAAAGTCAGAATTGCACAGAACTTTTCGATGCAGTTTTGAAAAGAATATATTTAAAATCAAATGTTACAAGATGTAAATTCTTGAAAAGCTGTACATATAGCTATCGTAAATACTATCAGATTCCATAAAAAACACACAGAAGAAATAACACCTAGAATTAAATTGGAAGGGAGAATTTCTTTTTTGTGTCTTTGATTTGAAATACCTACTACTGCTTTCTGGATGGATTTGTTAGTCCCCAGGAGGGAAAACTGACAGGCTGGATAGAGAAGGGAAGGGAAGGGAAGGGAAGGGAAGGGAAGGGAAGGGAAGGGAAGGGAAGGGACAGAAAAGAAAAAGGAGAGGGGAGGAGAGAAGAAAGATGAGCACCATGGAAACGAAATTTAGGATGGCTCCTTTTAACTTGAAGGCATCTACTCATTGGAATTCACAGAGAAGGAAAAGAGATTGAAAGTGGATTTTTTGAAAGTGTAGAAGGTAAAGACAGAGGAGAACTTCGGCCCAGTGAACAATGTCACTCGTTTTGTAGGTTAAATGTTAAAAGGCGACGCTGTAATGAGAAGGGACAGGGAAGTTAAAAAGCAACCGAGCATAAGAAGGAAGAGAGGAGAGCAGAAGGAAAGGAGAGAGAGAGGGAGAGGGGAGAGGAGAAAGGACAGAATAGAGGGAGGGAGTAAACCAGGCCTAGAGGGGAACTGCGGGCCCTGGGAAAAAGACGGGCTGGGGTTTTTTCCAGCACAGAAATGAAAATGCCTGTTCCACAGAGCAATCATTAGTTACATGGCTAAATAGATACAAGGGCCAGATAATGACTAGTTTTATAAATCTGACTTCCACGAATCAGAAACCTGAAAGTAACCCTAAATTTAATGTGATCCACATTTGGATGCAAAGGCTGGCAGTTAGTCCGAGTAACACTGCATCTGATAAGCTTTCTCGTCTGTCTCCCTGCTTATCATTCCTGTCTGGGGCTACTCAGATAAGGGTATTTGGTGCTTAATACCTCCAGCTGATGCAGTCATTCCTTTAGCTAGACATTCCTTTATCAACTGTCTGAGTCTTAAATGCTTCAGAACGCCTGAACTAAGACTGTGGGTTTGGAGATAATATCTAAAAGAGAAATTCAGAGGGAAAAAGACCAAATTAGCTATTTAAAGATAGCAAAGAAGGAAAGATGAAACGAAAGAAGAAGGCAGGAAGAATACAATGTAGGAGAGGAGATGATCGCTGGGTAATTAATTCTATAAGAAATAAAGAAAGAAGTTGTATAAAAATTATGTAGGAGGAAACGTGTTTACTTTACTAAAAGCTTATAGATACATCCACAAACAAGTGGAGTATGAAGTGATTTGGACATGAAGGAAAATTCTAAAGAGTAACCTAGCTAAAGAGTAACCTAGCTTGTTAGCACCAGCAGAAATGTCTTTCTTCTATTCATGTAATTATTTCATTTTCTTATAAAACCTCCTTGTTTTTACCCCATAATTGGGTAATAATTTGGGTTTCTGCCAGAATCCATGCCCTCAGATTATAATTCTTTTCTATCTCAAATAAATGCTTGGTACTTTTCACTTTGGCTTTTTATTTTTAGGTTAACAGTCTGCAGCTAATTTGTTTAGTTTATTCTGTTAGTGATGGAAAGCCATGTTTATATAAAACAATTTAATTACACTTTTTATGTTTCAATAAAGTTTTATATTTTTATTATAGAAAATTTAGAATGTAGAAGAAAGGTAGACAGAGAAAATAAATCATAGTCATACCACAAGGAGAAAAATACTATTAACACTTCACTTAATTTTTAAATACCTGTATTTTTTACATCATGATGATCATGGGAAAGTTATAAAATTTTATCTATTTTTTCAATAATTCAGAATCTCAAAATTCTAAGTCAGGCTATATACGCTAATGTTATACCTATTTGCCACAGAAATTTCAAGCATTTTAGTTGGAAAGTGAACTAGAATACAAAAGGGAATTAGGAACAGACAATATCTGCACGTGGATGGCTCAGTCTTCTGTCATTTACAAAAGCTTAATGATTCACATCACTCAACATGAGTGGTATAAAATGTTGAAATCCCTCATTCAAATTTCTGAGCAATGACAGTGGCCTTATATGTGGCTCTAGGCAACTCGGAATTTACATACAGAAGGACAGCATTTTGTAATATTCTTGTCACAAGTATTCCGATTATGCAACAGAATAACATTAATTAAATTGTTGATCTTCCAACAGGCAGTATAGTACATCTGATTCTAGGGTAAAACATGTTGCTGGAGAAATATTTTTTCCCATATGAGGATTAGAGTGGAAGCTGAAGGGGAACAGGTGTGAGAAACAGCATGGACCAAGCAAAACCCCAGACTGCCAAACCCACCTGACAAGCCATATTTCAATTTAAAAAAAATGACCTTGTCAGCAAAGTGAAGAAAGCCAGCTCTTTTAAGCTTTTTATAGCCTGACTGACATATTCTGAAATTGTTCATTTTGAGTCAGCTGGGAATTGTATGTTTTTATGTAATTTTCCCCCACAAAGTGCTTCAGGAGAAATATACCGATTCCAGCATGTCTGAATATCCCTTTTGTTAACAACTCTTAGAGGAGATACCTTGGATGGGTATAAAACTCTAGGGTCACAATTTCTCTTCTCACTTTCAAAATCAACACTCATCCAATAAAGATACGGCTTCAATGTTTTCTAGCTCACAGAAAAATAAATGTTCTTGTTCTTAAGCAGACATACAAGGGACAAAATATCTTTCTAGTTCTTTAAGAGGACCAAAAGTTTGTGAGGTTTCTTTTTTAACATATCTTTTATTGATTTCAGAGAGAGGAGGGGAGAGGGAGAGAGATAGAAACATCAATGATGAGAGAGTCATTAATCGGCTGCCTCCTGAAGGCCCCCGACTGGGAATCGAGCCCGCAGCCCGGGCATATACCCTGACAGGGAATCCAACCATGATCTGGATCCTAGGTTGATGCTCAACCACTGAGCCATGGCCAGCTGGGCTCGTGAGGTTTTATAAGACAAACATGGATAGGTCTCCAAATATTTTTATTCAATACAACATCACTGTCCCCATAAACAGTAGAAAAATTTATTCTAGAACGAGCAACTTTGTTTTCAATGTTATAACATTTTTTTTTTCTTTTCATTTTATGTTCTTTGGTGAAAGTTTGGGAAAGGCTGCTTCAGTGGTTAATAGCCAGTGTGTCTTCTTTTAAAAAACATATACATATATTCATATTATATGCAGTTTTATGCTTTACATTTAGGCTTATGATCCATTCTGAGTTCATTTTTGTGTCTCAATTCATTTTTTGCCTGTGGATGTCCAGTTGTTCCAGCACCATTATTTGACATTTGCTCCCTTGTCGAAGATCAGTATCCGCACTTCACAGGTGAAAACTGAAGTTCAGAAAAGTTAAAACATCTGTTTGAGTGTACATACACAATAAGTAGCAGAGATGATGTAAAAGTTATTTCATCAAAACCAAAACAAACAGAAACAAGAGTTTGCAAACTAACTAAATCCCTGCATTTCATCTGTTTATAACAATCCATTTGCCAGAATTAACCTTTCTCACCAATTTTCTGTCTCAAATTTTCACGTTCTTAAAAACTGAATCCTGGATATGTCTCTTAACCAAGTATCTGATAGTTAGTCTTCCATTTTGGGGACTCCTCTCATCAACTTAGGACCTTCTGCCTTTCCTCTCCCATTTAAGCTCACCTTCCTGCCCACTACCCTTCCCTCATGCTGCCAGATATGTCCCAGTTAGGACACATGTCTATGGGCATTTACTATATGACACTAAGATTCAAAAATCCACAAAGCCTCTGCATTCACCAAGGTTGGTCAATGTTCCAGTTCTAGAAAACAGTCGGCAATATCTTGCTGGTTGTGAATTCCTAAGTGCTTGTCAAAAAATACAAAGCTAAGGTTCTGAGCATCAACACACAATTCACTACATTGTGGCCCAGGACACATTTCACAATTCTTGTTTCTTTCTAAAGTTATATTCAATTACAAGTTGGGAACATGCTGTACCAAGTCATGAATTTAGAGCACAAGTGGAAAAACTTTTCTCAAACCTCACTTATATTCACAGCTCCCTTAAGATATTCCCCAACTCGATTGCTCAAAAAAAGTACACAATAGGAGTAGGGTTTTTTGCTGTCTTTGATCATTTATTAATAATTTTAACTTACCCCTAATAATTTGGCCAAACAGTATCTGATCATGCTCCTTGTTAAAGATTATTAGACAAAAGAATCAAAGTGGCATAGTAGAAAGAGCATGAGTTTGGGGATAAAGGGCCCTCAGTTAGAATCTGAGTTTGCACTTACCAATTCTATGTCCCCTAATTGCTTAGCTTCTCTATGCCCTTGTGTTCTTCATTCTGAAAATGGTAATAAAAATTTCTATCCTACAAGCTTGAGATATATATATACTAGAAAATAAATTTTAAGCACATAATAAACATTATTATTCATAACAATTTGATATCTAGAGTAATGGCAAAAATTAGGTGACTGTATTTCCAACTTTGGATGGTCTTTAGTAGTTGTGAGTAAAGGGAAGAGGAACCACGTGGGCTCTC